AACATATTCTAACCAAATTTAATTTAAAATTTGGGGCTTTGAAAAATGTCTTTTGCAAAAATTACTCATACGCCATGTAATCCAGTTAACAACTTCTTTGATCGTTTTTAAGTAAATAATATGAATAAAAACAACAACCACTTATTAAACTTTGGAAATTTTTACACATTTCTTAGGTTATTGCTTATCAGCAATATTGGTTTAAAACATTTTTAGCAATATAGAAATATTACTAATACGACACGTGGGTCTGGTAATATTTTTAAGTTATCTGGTGATCTGTAAATGATTTTATATTTTAAAAAAAACAATTTTGGAATGGTTTTAGCCATGTTAATTTATAGCTTCCATATCCTTGTTTTAAGAACATTTAAATCCTTGTTTCAACATAGAAACAAGGTAATCCATTTCTTGAAAAATCACCAAAAAAAACAACTTGTTAAAAGCATTAAAACTCGATGTTCCATTACTTGACTTTTTTTTACGAAAAAGTAATTTTTAGAGAACTGAATGTGTTTCTTGAAATTCGACATGCACCTAAAATCCACTCTAATGCCCTCACACAAACATCCTCGGGCGCAATTAACGCATTCACAAATGAAGAGTGTCAAGGCTTCAGTCAGTCAGCCAGTCAGTTGGTCCTTCGGTCCACCAGTCACTTTGTCAGTTAGGCAGTTTTCGCCCTTCCTCTTCCTTTTCCATTTCCTTGCCCTGTCTTCGCTCTCTATTCTTTGGCAGCTTTTTTGGCCCGGTCCCCCGAAAAAAGCGTTGCTCAAGACCTTCTATCAAGATAAAAGTTTTTGTATGCCTGCCAGAGGGAATGCTAAATGTATGACAACACTTTCGTGAATGTGTGCGGCTGGGTATGTGCGCCATGCGACATGCGGCATGTGGCATATGGCATGTGCCACACACGCCATGACGGCCACCATCAGGCAGGTGTAAGTTAGTTAGTCTCGAATCTCCACCATCTCCATCCCCTCCTCGCAAATTACAAATTCTCTCATGCATTGTGGCATCAAATTTGAGGTACTTAGGCAGCTAATGTTCGCGATGAGAGAAATTTTTGGAATCATTTGTCGGATACTTTAGATAAAACACCAACAATATGTTTACGGACACACCTCAGGGGAGATAATCAAATGAAATGGTTGTGACTTAAGGGCTTCCTGACGGCTAATGCGAAAGAATCATAGATATGAGTCGTGAAATTTAAGCTATTTTATAAAAGGTTGTGAGAAAATAAATAACGATTTTATCCTTCAATCAGTAGATATTAAACTTGAAGTATCTGTTATTACTAAGTTGATAAATAAATTACGGAAAGGTATACTTTAGATCTGTTTTGTTTATTTACCAAAATCTGTATCCTGACCCAAAGCTTTCGTAGCATATGTTTGTATAACTTTCCCTGGCAATCTGATAAATCAGCATTTTTGCCGAAATCCCTTTTGATTTGCCCAAAAGTTGGCCGACAAAAAAGAAGAAAAGTTAGAAAGTTTGAGTATTTTTGAGCCTCATTTACCTTTGATAGGTTGTCAGGGCAATGACAAGTGAACTACCCATATTAAATGCTCGAAATTATCAAAGATTCCTTTTCAGTCCGCCCACGCTGGAAAACTTTCTCAACAAGGCCTAAAAAAAAACTTTGTGTCTTTAAGACCGAGTGCCCTGAACTTTTGGGCAGCTCCATTACCAGAATTTAAGTCGCTCCCTAAGCTTTATGTAGTGCAGAGTTTTCTTCTTTTTTTTATAGTTAGTGCGTTGTAAAATTCCTTTTAAAAAAGTTGAAACTCAATTTAAGGCGTTGGTGACCACACCTTTTGCTGGTTGCCCTTGGCGGGATGATCTTTCAGTAGAACCGTGCCGGCAGCATAACGAGCCTATTTGCTATGCCTCATGCCCTCGGCAAACCGCCCTTGCGAACATCCAGTGCCCTGTGTTCTTGTGTAATATTTATGTAAATTTTGCCCTAGCGCAAAAATTGAAAGGCGTAATGGTCCTGTGTCGCAGCAACCTTCGGAACCTTTGGAAAAAGCCCGCCCCTCGACATTCACCATACTTTGCATATGGACTCCAACTCGACTCGCTCCGTAACCTTTCTTCTTGTGCGTGTGTTTCGGTTGGCTTCTCATAATAAATGACAACGAGCATATTATGCTCTATAATCGAGTGGAAGAGAATTATTTTGTGTGAACTAATTGCATTAGTGACATTCAATTTGATGCCGGGCGGAGGGCGAAAGGAGAAAAGCGAAAGGGATGGGGAAAAAGCGAAAAGGCCAAAACGAAAAGCGAATCAGGGAAAACAACGTTAAATGGCAATTGTCACAAAGGGCCGGGATTTCTGATAGTCGATCCCCTGTCGCTGTTCTAGTTTCTGTTGCCACATCGTAGTTTATTCCCAGCCTGTTTTGTGCCCGGCGCAGTCAAGCAAAAACCTGCGCCTGTCGCTGATTTAGGAAAAGCGACCCAAAGCCGAAGCCAAAACCAAAGCCCAAAACCCCAGCGCCCAACCCAAAGGAACCCAGCGCCCAGGAAGGACCCTAAACCGAGGTACAACAGAGGAAAAAAAATAAGGAAAACGTAACCGGGTCACCGCTTGGGCAATCATGTGAATCGAGCTCTTTATAATTTGCGAAACTATGTGAGCTGAGGCCCAGCGAGAGTTGCTATGGATGTTCCTTTTGTGTTCGGATTATCTTTTTAGAGGAATGAAAATATAAAATGAGGTGCCCGTTTTATGACATTCTAAGAAGCTTTTAAGTGGCCAGTTTCTATGGGTTTTCGGGAGATTCGTTGGCAACATTCTGCTTAAAGATTGCAAGCCAAAAATCTGAATGCTTACTGTTTAAATTTAAATTTGATTTGGGGTTCTTTGAATTAAATGCAGAAAACTGACAGCGATTAAATTTCATGTCATTTTCCTAGGATTTAAATCACAATTAAACTTTCTAAGCTGCAAACAGTACGCATGAGAAATTTGAGTTTAATGAAGCAAACTATTAACATGTTTAAGAGGATTTATGCAAGACCTGCTGGCGAAGCAAATAAATAAATCTGAAAGGATTTAAGTGAGTTATTTAAATAAAATAAATCAGACAAGTGGAAAAGCAGCTTAAGTTAATTTGCAGTTGTAAGAACAAACAAATCTAAGCTGGTCATTGACCATTTTACAATATTTCTTCACCTTCGAAAGCCACTTAAAAACAAATAAGTTAGGAATATCCCTATGAACCCATTAAGCCCCCCTCGTTGTCCTTGTGCATATGTGCTTTTGCGGTATGCGTATATTCCTGATCTTTGTGTATTTTGCTGGCCGTGTGGGTTGCCTCAAACCCAAATGAAAATAATCTTACATGTCGTTGACACATTTCGGAGCACTGCCAAAGTGCTGGGTTTCCGCTTAGCGTTGCTTACCTGCCGGTCCAAAAAAAAGTGCGTGAGTAAGTCATAAAGGGAAGAGAGAAGAGAAATACAGAGTTATAAGTCAAGATGCAATCGATTGAGGGAACTAAACTACTTATGAGCTAATATATACAATCTATATATACAGTTTCTATACATTATGGCAAACTCAAAAGCGCAATAAACATTTTGTGGCAAGCTTAGTCAGAATTAGTCAACGGATTTTAGCGACTGATTGGGGGTTTATGGCCGGTCAACCGGTCCTCGAATAAAATACATATATATTTACTCCACGAACCCATCATCCTAATCCATCATCATCTCACCTGGTGTCCGGAGCAGATGGAGCCGTTGGGCACGCGCACGCGGAACGGACTGTGGACCGGGCAGGAGGTGCGCGGTCCCCACCTGGTGGCCGCCGCCTGCTGCAGCGACAGCGCCGAGCTGCACGGATTGAAGAGGGCCGGCGGCGGCGGTATGCTGATCGAGCTGAGGCCGCTCATGCTGCGGCAATGGCCGCCGGCATCGACGACGGCGGCCGGACACTGGGGCACACTCTGACCGCTGCTGCCGACGCCGCTGCCGCTCATGCCGCTGCTCCCGCTGCTGCCCAGCAGGGACATGTGCGAGCCACCGGACATCAACGACTGTGATGTCAGCCCATGATGCTGGCACATGCCAATGGGTGGGATGCCGCCGCCGATGCCGCCGCCGCCGCAGGAGGTCACGCCGCCGGACCATTGACCCGCCGCCTGCTGCGATGGTCCGCCCGCTCCAGATCCAGCCGCTCCAGGTGGCCCGGCTCCAGGTCCGCCCGCTCCAGATCCAGCCGCTCCTTGTGGGTCGCCGCCGGCGCAGTAGTGATCCACCGTAAAACTGTCTTGGCTACCAGAGCATTGCAGGCGATGCGGGGGCGGTGGCGACGAGTGGCGCGGGTAAATGTTGTGTCTGTGTCCTTTCCCAGCGGCTTTCTCCTCCGCCCTTCGCTTTTAGGGGGTGGTGGCGGTGGTGCTGCACTTTCTAGCCCTTTGATATGTGGTTTAGGCCAAAGAGCATTGCTCGCTAGTTGTATCTAGTTTCTAGTTTCAGCTTGTCATCAAAGCCTTACGTTCTTCAGCTTTTGTTTGTGGTTCCTTTTATTTTATTTGCTTTATTTTAGACTGCCTCTGTGATCACAGCATTTCCTTCGCTCCTCCCATGAACAACAACTTTTATTACGATTAATCAACAACAAGAAACTGGGGGCGAGTTAAAAGTCTACAACAATTTGGTTTTCGGGATATTCGGGTTTTTGCTTATTATTGTTGCTGTCTTTATTTTTTAATTGTTATGTAAATTCTGTTGCTATCACTGGTAAATCATGTGTGTGTATCTCCAATCCCGGCTTCCCACGACGCTGAATTGATGTGGCTATAAATTATTGTATCCTTTTTTAATTGAGCCTGCCTGGGCAGCAACTATACATATACTTTCGTTACGTTCTGTTTCGTTCGGTTTAAGCTATTTTAAATGCTCGAGTTTATATGTGCTGCAATTGATGCAATTAACTTGTTCATCACAATTGTAATTAATTTGTTGTTTTTGGGGTTTAACTTGGTTTTATTCTTCTTTATTACTGAGTTCTCTATATAGATGTGTGTGTTCTTTAATTTGATGCAACTTTTAGAATTTAATTTTGAATTGATTTTGTTTGGTTTTGTGGTTTTTTTGGTTTAGCTTTTATATTTTCAAATTTTCTAGCATGCGATTTCTGCAAAGGAAAATCGTTGAAAAGCTCAAAATTTAACGAAATTTATTCGACTGGGCGGGAGTGTGGGTGTATGTGTGTGGGGTTTAAGGGGTGTTAACTATATACAAGCTCAGCACAGCGGGAAAAAGGAATTTCGGGTTTAAGGAATTTCAATTTAATGTTGCATACTGCTCAAAAGCCTTTCTCGCAACGAGTGCTTTCGCATTTAATACAAATAAATTAGATATTTAATCCCTTAGACACACACCTGTACAATTGAAATTAGTGAAACGGTAGGCAGCATCCCATGCTCCTTTACTTTAAATCTCCACCCCCGAAAGCAATCAACGAAACAGATGGGAACCAAATGGAGCGCAATATACACTGGGGGAAATCAATTAAGGGAAATAAAAGTCTACCAAAAAGACTTGAAAAAATATTTCAAGCCAAAAATTCCTGAATTGTTTTTTAAGACTTTTCGTACAATTTACTTTCCTGTTTTTATAACTAAAAAATGCAAAAATATGCCATACTAAAATCTTTATCAATTTGTTTATTAATACATCTTTGTCTGAACTCCTTTCCAAGATTTAATCAGTACATAAAAAAAACTCCGAAATCTTTGTTTTGAAGCCCTAAAGTTTGTATTGTTTCTGTGTAGACAGTTTTCTATTCCGCGCCTCGTTTTAATTAAACTCACTGTCTAGGCAACTGAAAATGTGTATTTTATATGCCTCAGAGATAAAAATAAAAATTTACAGTATAAAAACCTGTGTTGTCCCTGGGGGGAGAAAACAGAACTTGGTGGATTTTGGGGGCGGGGAAGCGAAGGCAGAACAGAGCTTTTTATCTAAACGGTTCCAAAAGGCAATCGTTTGGGGAAAAAGCCTTAAAAATAAAAATAAAAACCGAGGCAGGGGAGGAAAACAAGACTGTGAAACAAAAAAAAACCTAAAAAACATGGAACTCGGGAAATTATATGCGCTAATAAAGGCAGGAGGGCAGAGGGACAAAAGGCTGGAGATAAACAGGACCTCCGAGGGACCGACTCCATTGCCAGGCAATTCCCAGGCGACTATCGGGACCGCAGGCGGAGACTATTTATGCTAAATAGTTTTCAACAAATTCCACACTGACTGCCGAAAGTCTGCCGCTGCCATCGAATTAAATTAAAACGGAATTGTGAATGCTTAAATAATATTCGCATAATAAAAGGGACCCCACGAACCGGGAGGCGTTGAAATGTTTGCTTTTGGCGCAGCTTCCGCTGAATGCTAATGTGCCACATGCCGCCCATAATTGAATGGGAACGTGCTCGTCTCGTCCTGGCTTCGGTTTGGCTTGGCTCGGCTTTATCCTGCGGGGCAGGAAGTCAGCCAAGGACGTGGAAGCCACGTTGCCGTGGAAGCTGGAACTTTGCAGCGGAACATACGCGTTCAAAATAACCAAATTCAATTCATAAAAGATTCAAAAACCAACAAAGAAAGTATGGCAAAAACAGTATGAAAGAGAGAGAGCTGCAGAAAGTATGAAAGAAAGCAGAACGAAGAACCGCAGCCAGACCAAAAAAACAGAAAACAAAAAATACAAAAATACGAAAAACAAGAAAACGAAAAAACTGAGTTGAGGTAAAGTGAGTTTTAGCAGTCTATCTGGATCCTGAAGGGCCACTGGGGCTTGGAGGACTCCCCGTCTAAACCACTGAGCTGCACTTGCTCCTTGCCGGAGAAGAAGAAGAGATGCGGTGCTGATGAATTTCCAAGTAGAAACAAGGAAAAATGAAAAGCAATGAAAAACAGGGCAAATAAAACCTCACAAATTTTTCAAGCACAGTGGTCGCTTTGGTAAATTAGAAGCAAATGGTAGCCAGCATCGTTTTAGTTGGCAATGAATTTATTGGCTTTTGATAAACATAAATCTTCATTCAATTTTAAAACTTAATTTATGATAAAGAAAATTTAACAGTTAAGATTACAATTTAAGTATTTAAGTAATACAATATGGGTTGGGATATTTAATTTAAAGGTGTTTAATTTATTATTAATTTTATGAACTTTAAAAATTATATATTTTTGTTAAACCATTATAAATAATTCCTCTTACTTAAATGACTAACTGAATCTTTCTAAAGATCTATAAATAATAACAAATTGAATGCAATTGGACTTCTGAACATATTTTAATCAATTATTTTGCCTCGCAACTGTGGTGTATGAAAATTCTAATTTTCCCGCGACCACTGTAGTTGAATTCTCTTGCAGCTTCTCTTCGGTTTCTCCCCTTTCTTCCCCGCTTTCCTCGGTCTTTGTGTATATATACACATTTTTGATAAGGCAAACGGAAATGGCATAGGAAGCGTTCGTAGGGGGTGGTGAACGGGAGGGGGGTCGAAAGGGGCGGATAAGGGGGCGGGGCTGAGCTGTGCTGAGTGGCAAAGTGAAGTGAAGCGAACTTCAGTTTGTTGAGGAATTCAAAGTTTGCAGGTGGGTGTTGGGTGGATTTTCGTTCAGGTGTTCTAGGCTTTTTTTTGTATGTTAGTACTTACTGCAACGAAAAGTTGTTTTTGTGCGTATCTAACTCGTTGTGTTGTCTGTGTTTTTCCTTTCTTTTAACTTTTTTTTCTGTCTGGCTTAATCAATTAAAGAGTACATTTTTTTTGTTCTTTATTTATTGTTTTATTTGATTTCTCTTGTTGCTTGCACTGGCTGTAGTTTTTCGGGATAAATTGGTTTAAATTAGTTTTTGTTCTGCACCGATTTAATTTGATTTACACCGCACACAACGGCACACACACACACACCACAACAATCACTCACACACACACTGAGATAAACGTAGGCGAAATGCGATTAATTTAATTCAATTGAGGAGCGAATTTTGGTGGCGCGTTCGTGAAATCATTGATAATCGTTTTTGGCAAATCGATTTGGCAATGCGGTCGAAATGGTTTCTCTGCTGGCGTCGCTGCCTTATCCTTGTTGCGGTTGTTGCTTCTCCAAGAGAGACAGCGCGAGTAGGCGCTCTCTCTTGGAAGAGAGTGTCGGGAGAAACTCCCACACATACACACCAAGAGCGGAGAGAGGGAGCGGGGTGAGCGCTACAAAAAAAAAAGCCAAGAAGCTGACCGGATCGGACAATATGCAAAAAAAAGAAAGGGAAGAGAAGGAAACCCAGAGAGGCTGCGAGAAAAAAGTCGCCAAAACGACCACGCACACTTCTTTTTTCCCCTTTGCGTAAATGTGTGTGGGAATTTTCCTTGTGAAAATCAATGCTTTTCGCCTTTACACTTTTTATGTTGCCTACTTTTTTGCGCGCAACTTTGTTGCCCAACGAAAGTGTGCTTTGCTTGTAATTAAAAAGTTTTTACGGTTTCTTTTTCGGCTATCCAGAACTTTAGTTTGTCTGCTTTCTTCGGCTCTTCTTGACTTTTTCTCGGGACTTTTCCTACTTTTTGCATTTCGCTGCGCCGTATGGCAACTCACTGGTGTGTGTGTTTGTGTATTTTTTTTCGTGTGCAGCATTTGTGTGTGCGTGTGTGTGCTGCTGCTGCTGCGGGCGCTGCTTGCTGCTGCTGCTGCTACTGTTGTATACCCGTGCTGTCCAGGCAAGGGCTCGCGTTAAACTGGCACAGAACCAGTCAGCAAGGTGCACAATTATAGACTGAGTCCTCGAGACCCGAGTCCTGCCAGCATCCAGCTGAAGTCCTGGCTCTCCGTCCTTGCTCTCTCCTGGCCTGGCCTTGCTCTCTCTCTCTCTCCCTCTGGCACTCAGCTGAATGCAGCCTGCTGCCCCCAATCAATTTCCTGTGCGCGAGCGAGACAACTGGTGTCTCGCTGACTTGGTGGCCTGACTTCTGCGTTGCTTGCTGAATCTGTTGAAAGGATGCAGGATGCTGGCAGCGACGCCGACGGCGACGCCAACCGCGACTGCGACAGCTGACATGCGCAGTAGTTGTCCCTGTCTAGCAGCCACATTTCTCACTCATTGGCAATCGCAGACGATTTCGCTGCTGCACAGTGGGCTCAAAGCTATTTTGATTCAGTATGAAATTATACTTTTAATGCAATTTAATTTGCATAAGTATTTAGGTGAGTTTAAGAGCAGCTTGATTTTTTTGTTTTAAAAATGTATTTTTTTTATTTTAAGTATTTTAAAGTATTAAGTATTTTATATTTGCCTGTAATTTTTGGTTAGAATTCGTTTCATTGCAATTTTGATGAATGTTATTTTTAGTTTTCAGTCAGGTGTAAAATTTAAATTATTTTCCAATTTGCACATCTTCACCAAAAAGTTCAAAAATCCTTATCTAATATGGGCGCAAACACATATTACGCATACGCCTTGTGGACTACGATTAGCCATAAGATGCTGCAAATCATAATCAAAGCCCGGTTATGACCACAAAACGGTAGCTATTGGTTTTAGAGCCGACAAATTGGCCAGCTAGGCCAGTGTGCTCTGCCACCGCCTTTTTGTCTAACGCGTAACGTGGCGAGAGTGCAAATATTCGTAATTTATGGCACAACGTCTGCGCCACGTAGTCGTTAACCCAATCATTGCCAGCTTCAGCGCTGGCGTCATCATCGTCCTCAGCATCATCAAAATCTGCATCACCATTATTATCATCATCATCATCAGCAGCAGGAGCATCAGAGACCATCAACGTTTCATCAGAGCGCTGCAGCTGCAGATTGCTGAGCAGTGGCCAAAAAACTTGGCCAAAATAGGTGTATTGTGGCCAGCAGGGTGGACCTGGCCTTTATCCGTAATTTAAGGTCATAAGAACAACCCTTTTGACATAAGACATAAAAAACTCATAGCAATACATGCTTTTAAGATTTATCACTCATACGCAGTGTATACCTTCTTTTTATGGAAGTAAGACCTGGCTTACGTGTCGTATGGGTAATATTCTTTTAAAAATTAAAATATATTCTGCGAATTGATTTTTATTTAAATTTTGTTCTCCTCACCGAAAGTTTTTAAAATACAGTTTCAATGATAACTTTTCGTAGAGAAAATATACATAAAAATATTTTCCAGCTTGAATTTTATATTCGAAAACACCTTTTTCGAAACAAACTCTGCTTGCAATTACCTCCGATAGTGGCTCACCCTAGAATCCTGGCGCACACAATCACCAAGACACTCAGACACTTGCCAAAGAGGATGCGGGCGTGTGGCAAAAGGATTCATTGCCAAAAGAGGAAGACGAAGCAGTGGCAGAAGGTGGAAAACCGCAACCTAATTACATGTGGTAAGGCCCCAGCTATCCATTGGGGCCAGGCAAACACAGAAAGAGAGGGGTGGCACAGGGAGGAAGGACGCAGGACACAGGGAAATGGACAGACAGTCGGAGAGACAGCCCCTTTATGAGTTATGAATCTGTGCTGAGGCACAGCAAATATTTATGGAGCGCTTGTTGTGAATAGCAGGCCAACTGAAAGTGGGCTTGGCAAGGGGGGAAACGATGTGGAAAGGACAAGAGCACAGTCCTTTTGCTGTAAGATCGAAAATTGAAATACCCTTTTAGGGACGATTGTTTCCATGGAAGCTCAAACCAGAAGTTTTCACGAATTATTAATGTTTTAATAAGAAATTTGATAGCCTTGATTTATGTGTCATCAAAAAAGCACCAAATTAGAATCATTTAAATCGAACTCGTCGAAGATAAGTTAGGGATTAGGGTCAGATAAATTGTTCTATCATTTTGACTTTTTATTAAAAAATGTATAATTAAATATTTTTTAAAGTTATATACATAGTTGGGATACAAAAATCTGGCGATATTCACAGGGCATTAAAAATATGCAGCGACATCTTTTCAGACTCGATGTGAAAGCAAAGAAAGCAATTCAGACAATCGATTGATTCGCAAGGACGAGGAGAACAGCAGCCATCACACGAGCTTAACGCGCTGCATAACGGCCTTTTTAATTAATGCAAAATAAAGCACCTCCCACTATCTGACAGCTTGCACCTCGGCACCTCGGAAAAGCCAAACTGCCACCCACCACACTCAAAAAAAAATTTTAGAAAATCGCCTATGGATTTGCTTTACTGGCGATTTTTTTCTATATTTCTGGAATATTTCTTGAATTTAATGAATTTTGATTAATTGGAAGAAAATTTTCTTTACCAGTAGAAAATTTTTTTATTTTAAAGAAAAAAATCGCCAGTGAAGCAAATCCATAGGCGATTTTCTAAAATTCAGGGCGATTCATTTTCTGAGTGCAGCGTTATGTCAAGTGATTTTCAGTCCGAATTCATTTCGGCCCAAGGTCCAAGTTGCATCGCAGGCAGTGTAGGTCAAGGCCCATTCGGAAAATGGAGCTCGTGTAATCGCATCCTGGCCATAAACTATTAACTTGCTGCTGTCGCCAACGTTTTGTGCGCTGCAACACGCCAATGGAAAATGGAATCACGAGGGGCTAAAAGGGTGCGAAAGGGTCACAGGTGCACTGGAAAATACAGAAAAGGCTATAGGTCATATAACAGACAAGTGCGTAACATTGCAAACTGCAACATGCATAAAGTCCATTTTATTTTAAAAATTTAACAAAATTAATTCTTAAAAAAAAATCAGAATAAAAATGTACTTGGAACTAGATGACATTCTAACTATAGTAGGGATCGTTTTAGATGAATTAATAAAAATTTTACCACTTTAAAGCTTAGTTTAAAGATGATCAGAATTATGATGATGATATATATTAACTTATATTTATGATAATACAATTTTTTAATAAAAATATAGTTTTTAAACAAATATTTTCTGTTCTTAGTGTAAATTCCACATGACATAAGTATATTTAGCACAGATTAAGATATTTTTAAATCCAACATTAATTTCCCACACAAATGTAACGTGTTTTTTTGCCAGTGCACCAAAAGAGTGAAAGCAATTTGGCACGAATTTGTCATCTCATCGAAGTGGCAACAAATTTGGCTGCAACACACAGCAGCAACAATGGCAATAACAATAACAAGGATGATGGCAGTTACAGAGCTGCAATTTGGGGGCTAAACGGACGGAGGGGCGTGGCAGGCGACATTTATGTGTGTTGTGCAGCCAAAAGAGTAACCCTAATGTGTCAGTGGGGCAGGTGAAGTGGAGGCAGGACATCCTCCCCGCTTTCGGTCCTGTAACTACTGCTACTGCTGCTCCTGACAGTTTGCTTGCTTAGCCTCGTTGACACGTTTAGTTGTCAACTAACCCACACTCACACATACTAACTAACACACTCACTTGGGGGAAGATGAACACGTGCACAAACACCACATCACAAACACACACACACATCCGCAGTCGTAGTACCTTCTGTATATATCCGTATCCGTATCCGTATTCCGTGCAAATCAGAAGCAAGTCAAAGGTAAAACGACCGTTGTAATAATGCTGATGGCATCCCAGAAATCGAGACAAAATGGTATAGGTAATAGGTATAGGTGGGTTCCTACATGAGCATGTGTGGCACACAAAAATGCAAATTCGTTGGCCATTTGGCAAATTGATTTTGCCATTGCAATTGGCCAATATTCAATGAGTGTCCACCGGGGAAAGGACAATAAACAAAGGCTGGCAGAACGAAGCGTTTTATGTTCCTTGAAGTCTTACTTAAGGATGAGAGTTTCTCGATTGGGGAATAGGATTTCAATATGGGAATAGGAAAAGAGATTCCTTTAAGGGGTTATATACCTTTTTTGAGCGAAAAAATTGAGGGAACTTTGGATTTTTTTTTGGTGTGTAGCAATTATTTTATGACAGTGAAGTTATTATTTATTGATAGAACATGTTTTTATCGAAACAACAAGCCTTTGTTCTTGAAAAAATATGAATAATTTACGAAGTTATGGCAATTCTTTCGGAACCCTTTTTTTTTATAGCGGCTTGCGGTGACCACGATGGAAGTCCAGCAGGTCAACTGATATCAAAAAACCAAAAATTTTTAGTTAGTATAGTATTATTTCCAGTTCGTGAACGATTACTTTTAAGAATATTTCCTTTTTTCTGCATACAGTAACAATTTTTCCAAAAAGTTGATTTTTCAAGTTCTAAAAATTTTATTAAAAAATTCTGATCTGCGAAATTAAAATTGGCGCATAAAAACTGAATCGTTCACGAACTCGGCACAATCATTACGAATAATTTAAAAAAAATTGAAGAAGATCGATCAAATAGTTCTTGCGCAATCGTGGTCACAGCGAAGGCACTTTTGGAAAAACACGACTTTGAGATAATCGCATTCAAAGTTTTACGTTGAGGTTGCAACTATTGAAGTCGAGCGCGTCAAAACGCTGTTTTCCTATCGAACTATTATCCGGATCTGTATGAAAATTTGGGAAGATGTTCTCTAGGGGATATACTTTAAGATTCAGCAAAAAAAAAATTTCGTTTTTTTGAAAAAAAAAAAGGTATATAACCCCTTAATACTGTTGCCAGAAGCAGTTTAAGTTGAAGTTATATGGGATTAACATTTAACATATTGGTTATAGCTCAAGGCCATTGTAGAAATAGCTATTAATAAAATATAGGTTATGAGTCATTTTGAATTGCCTCCTAACCATAATAAATAAATAAATAGTTAGTTATAATATTTATTTTAGCAGTCTATCACACTTTTCCTCATTTAAATTGAATGAAATTCAAATCATTAATTTAATTGATAATAATCTCTAATTAGATTTATATCCATACAGTTTTTTTCTTGAAATTACATTTGTTTGCATAAGTCATTCCGAATATTTAATTTAAATGTTGACCCCATAACACCCACACATCGAAAGTAAATCGAAATATGTAATTATCATAGCTAACATAAATCATTGATTTTAATTAATGCACACGGATTTAATTAGTTTAGTGTTTAGTTATGCAAATATTGTCAATAAATTTAAATCGAAATATTCAAGGCTGCCGCAGATAGTGATAGGAAATCATTTAGGAATGCTCTAAAACAGTGATATATCATTCGATAAATTGATTTAGATAAAGTTTAAAGATAGATTGCGTTTTATTTAAAATACATTTTTATTCTTAACGATGATTTTATGACAATTAAAAAGGATTTGCTTATAGGTTTTTTGTAAGGTTACCTCATAATGCCAACTAAGTAGAGCAGTACCCATACTCAAACTACAGCCGCATTACATAAATTTGATTTAAATTGAAAAGTAATTAAGTGGTTGAGCTGCCCATCACCCCCATAATCATCAGCTTTTTTCTCGCTTTATGCGGGTAATGTGGTTTTTCCACCCGCTAGTTCGAGTTCTAGTTTACCCCGCTCCCACTTTTGGCGGGCATTTTCACTTGCAGACCGAACAAAAACAGTAAACAAAATTTAATCAAAGTTTGGCCGCAACTCAAATGAAAAGCCAACTCCACTGTGCATTTTGGCACCCGCTTTGGCCAGATAGAAAAGCCAGTTACCACCCAAAATATCCCTTCCCAGCGATGCCTATCTCTTAACAACCTGATTTACCTGGTGGTGCAGATTGTTGTAGTAGCGCGTTATATATGCGGGCAGTAGTTCGGCGGTCTCCAGGCCGATCCACTGGAATATCTCCAGATGCTCCTGCTGGGGCTGCAAGGTAGTTGCTCCAGTTGCCGCGGCTAGATTTTCACAGCAGCGGCAACAGCAGCAGGCTTCTGCGGTCTGCTCCATTCGGAAGAGGCCCGCCTTTTATCAATTTATAATTTGATTATTTGTGTGTGCCTTGACAAGACATTTAAATTTCTTTTTTTTTTTTTGTGGTTCGCTCTCTATTGTTATTGCTCGGGCTTAGCACATTTGAATTTAAATTGAGTTATGGCCGGCTGACAGGGGCTGCAGTATTTTCTTGTGCTGCCAATTTATGAGCAGGGCAACGGCGCGTCCCCAGCGCCAGGGAGCAGCCAAGTCCCCGTTCCGGATCCGGTTCCCTATCCCTATCATCCCAATCCGCATCCGGCTGGCGGTTGCCATTTTGTCAATTGCTCCCATGTGGATTTTGCCGCCAAACACGTGGGCCGCTGTCGCTTTCCCGCTGACGGAGGTTACGGCGGAAACTCGCGCGCGTAATTGGCACACTCACGCACGCACAGGCACATAAACTCACTCCGGGGTTTTTTAGCCGGGTTCGGTGTTTGGGGTCCTGTTAATTGGGTCAAGCGGGTTGGGGGCAGAGGCAACCCTCTTGAGAAATAGACTCACGGCTCCGAACTAGAACTCAAACTCAATCGCCGAAAACTCAAACTCAAACTGTGAACTCAACTTGACGAAGGTTTTTTGGCCACGATTCTCCGGGGAGGAGGAGGGTCGAGGGGAGCAGTGGCGCCTCGTTAGGCGCCATTTTCACACATCAGCGGGCAAGTGGCAAATAAATCCGAGGCGAATAAATCCGCCGACGTTCCCCAGCGGCGACTGCGCCGCAAACTAAACTGAAATCTCGGGTGCGCGCTTTTTGTTTAAGTCAATCACGAGTGCTCCGTTGTTGCAACTTGGCCAACAGTGTTGGCCTGCCAGCAGCCGGGGATATTTTTAACAAGGTCTGCGGCTGGGTACTTGGTTTTTCCGCTCTTGTACCATTACATAATATACAATCATACAAAAGGGAACAACTATCTACACCCAAAATGCATTATATTAATACACTGCATTGTCCATAAAATTAGTTAGACTTATAGAGACTTCGATTTAGGGTACTTAGATATACATTTTATGACCATTTATTCATTGTATTGCCCATTAAACTGGTTCATCTAATAGAGTCTAAGTTATAAACCATTAAATTGACAGATATTTAAATTTATTTTAGAAGAACAATGCCTTAGTTAAGTGGATATCCTTACTAGATAATTTAGTTTCGAAGTTCACAGTGTAAAAAATACAACTTTTTCTCCAGAAATATTTCAAACTTTAATTTTTGTTAAATAGTTAAACTTTAACCCATTCCAAACTTTAAAACCAAAGCATATTAAGTTTCAAATACCAAAGTAAGGAAAGTACCTTTGCCATTACTATCGCCACCCACTGGGTCGAAAGGAAAGAGATGGCAAGATTTAAGGAAAAAGAGAGGCCAAACTGCAGTTTGCTGCAATTTGCAGATAGAGAGAGAGGGAGAGGAAATGGGAGAGAGCAGCAGCTTTTGCAGCTTTCACTTGGACATTGGCATTGTTGGTGGAACTGCAGCCCTGGACAGCAGCCCAGCATCCCCCACCCCCCTCACCTACCACCCAACCACCCACCACCCCCTTCGACGCTTCCCGCTGAGCTGTGTATATAGCATTAACACATTCGTTCATTGCTTTCATCGTTGGCCTGCGTTTTCCTGCAGTTGTTCATATTTTTTTTGCCCACTTTTCTTTCATTCTTTTGGGCTCGTTTTTTTTTTATTTTTTGCAGATTGCTCGGATTTATGAAAATGAGACTGGGCTTGCGTCACACAAAAAAGACAGACACACAGACAGATATAGGCGAGTCCGAGCCACGAGAGGCGCAAAAATAAATAAAAGAGGAAAATCAGGAAAAGCAGCAGCAGCAAGGACCAGCAGCAAACGCCCCAGCGCAAAAAGTGTAGTCAGCTTCAAGGAGCAATTAACGACAGTGGATGGCACAGAGTTATGTTATAGCATTGCGTCCGTATCACACACAGCCAGACCCGCTCACCCACTTCCCACACTTCTGGGTAGGATGTATTCTTTATACCCTAGAACAGGCACGGGTAACATGGCGGGGGTAAACCAATGAGGAGCTTAGGCCGAGTCTGGCAAATAATTGGATACTCGTGGGAGGATGAATCCTTGCGCACATAAATACTCCTCACAGTTGTCCTTTTCAAGTTCTTTGACTGGGCCACATTAAAGCCCACTGTTGATGAGTAGTGCAGCTCAGCTGAAGAGCCAAGTTGATAAAGAGGCTTTCCGCCTGGAAGTACTTGCATTTGAATTGGAAATAGTATGTCTAACTAACCATTGTTATTTTTCTCCATTGAATCATGTGGTTTAATCAAGAGTTGGACAAGAAATATCGAATATCTATACTAAAATTGATACTAGTACTGGTATATAAACATATAATAAATTTTAAGTATTATTTAAACATTTAAATTTTTACTTTAAATTTAACATGCGTACGAGAAAACGAGCTTAAACTTTAACCGCTCCTGAACAGCAACTGCAATCCATTAACCGCCTTATTACAAATTAATAGCACAGCAAGGTTAAAGCAATTCATGACTTGGTTTTCAATATCACAGAGAATCCCGAAAGATTATTTTTATGGTCGTTCAATATTATGTTATGTTTCGGTGAAACACATCTTCAGTTGCAAAACTTTTCCCAAAGCTCTCTTTATGTTACCAGTTTGTATGAAGTTACAGCATCCATTAGCCATATTACTAGTATCCAATAACGCGGCAATTGAAATCAATCCCGCAGTCCCCACACAACTTGGAATAATCTTTTATGGCCTTATAGCGACCGTAAGGATATTTAAGGTTTCGTCGAAACAAAAAGTTAACCCCCTCTGTCCTTTTTTGCTTATTTATTTTTTGTTCGCTATCGTTAAATGTTTTTGTGCCCCTTTCGCAGCTGCCGAGTGAAGTGGAGGACGAGTGGAGGAGTAAAGGAGTGAAGGCGGATGTCCATATGCCGACGTAGTCGGAACAACGATGGCACTTGAGCCGTGTACTCGTAGCATACTTTTCAGCGCAAAAAGTCCTCGGGCGGGAAAATGGGAACTGAGCCCCGGAGCCCGGGGGTGCGGATGTTGTTGCCCCACCCCCTGCTTTATCCTGCCTTCTCCTCTTTCCCATTCGCATTCCACTTCTGAGTCTGTTGCTTTAGCTGTTGTTGCTGTGGCCTGACTACGTCCGAAATTCATTTTGGTTTATTCTGATTAAATTGTTTGTATTTGGTTGCATTAGCTACTGTATGTGCTTACACTGGGAAAAATCTACGGTCGCATTTTTGTTTCGCAATATCATACATAAATATGTTAGAGCTTCGAACCAAGTATCAGTTTATTTTTCTCGAAGAGGATAACAGCTCTCAATGGGTAGTAAATCTATAGATTTTTATTATAAAATTTAGTAACATAATTCTTCCAACCTTTTTGGAGCTACGCTCAATAATTGTCTAAGTTGTCAGAGAAGATGATATATTAATAGGATCTTAAAAGTAATTAAAGGTTTTGTTTTATAAGAATTTTTCTTTGTATAATAAACAATCCAACTTCATAGAATACTAATTTAATAAATAATAATTCTTCTTTTTCCATAGTGTATTTATGTGCATGTACAGCATTGTGTGCCGGTATGAGTCTCTGTTTAAGCAAAGGATTAGTTACTCTGTCTGCGACCGAGTCCTGCGAGTGACGGCTCTGCCGCAGGCTCTTACTCCTGCGCCAGCTTGTTTGCCCGCACTAAATACATTTCAAATTTGTTTAAGCTTAAGCCCAAGCGAATTGGGCGACTCGAGTGGACCGCAGATTGATATGACCACAGAGGCGAACAAAGAGCCCGAGAGCCCTGTGATTGCCAGATTATTGCGAAATAAAGCTTGCCACAAAATGCCCAACAGAGTAAGAGTAAACAGTGGGTAGGCTCTACTTTCCGCCTCACTCACCTGCATGTGGGGGGCGGCCAGGAGCTGCAGCAGCTCGTCCTTGGCATACTTGCCGCCAAGCGAGTTGCCGCCGGCCGTCGATGAGAGCAGCTCCAGGACATCGCGACAACGTCCAACGGCCTCGGCAGCCGGTGCCCTTCCATTGCTGGTCACCACTGTCGCCGCGATCCGGTCGAACAGCTGCAGAAATTGGTGCAGCCTGCTGTCGCGCAGCATGTCCCGCAGCACATCGGCGTCAACATGCGCGTCCTGCAGCGAGTAGATGTCGTCCAGGCAGTCCAGGATGCGCTGCACCGCCTCGATGCCCGCCTCCTCGTCGGCCCACTCGTCCGTGGCCCCGGCGATTGGCACTGCAATAATACGAGATCATATATAAGAACGGGGTCTAACATAATTGAATGTAATATCTTAATAATATCTAAAAAGTAGTTTGACTACCCTTGAAATTATATCTTAAATATTTAAAATTACATTTCAGTGTTTGTGTGCCTATCAACATTGGTTTAAAGGCCTCTTCTCTGTTTTGCAATTTTCTCTAGTGGTTCTATACATACTTTTGTTAAAAAATTAATTCTTCTGTAACATAAAAGGCTATATTTTATGAATCCGAAAGGAATCTACAAATCCATTTCCCCTTCGATACAAGTTTACTTTTCAATTTGATACAAAAATAATAAATAAACTGCTGCAAGGCGTTATTAATTGCGCCACAGTAAAAAATCATTTTACAACTATCCTTAATATTTTGTAAAATTCAAATTTAATTACATAATGTATTGCTTAATATGCATAAAATCAATAGAAACAAATTCTATCTGTATAGAATTTTTGTATAGGATTAAATTATATCTGAATCCTCCGAATCTTTTTATAATAATCTTCTAATAAGTATATACTGACTGTCCGCATCGGTGGCGTACAACGGATCCATGTTGGTGCCTCCTGCGATGGCCTGGACAGCACCCTTAAGCTTGCGCCGAGCATTGTAGCGCTTCAATTCCTCCACCGTGTCCGCCAGGTGAGTGCGCTGTAGTTTATCCCGATCCCGTATCCACGGATGGTCGAGCACCTCGGTGATGGAGAGTCTGTGATGGGGATTTGCGGCCAGCATTTTCATGACTAGATCCTTGGCGTTCGCCGAGATGGACTTCCACTCGGGTGCCTCAAACTGGAAAAAAGAAATGGTAATATGAATTGAAAGTTCTATTGAAATGTAAGGAGCCTCAGACCATAAGAATAAGCGAAATATTAATTGATTTTGTTCGCTTTGGGTTTGTTCTTTTGATTTGTGCTCTATATATATTTATATTCCTATGATCCACTCACCGATAACCGACCGCGAGCTATTGACTGCTGCAACCGAACTCCTGAGCCCAGAAAGGGCAACCGACCGGAGAGCAGAACGTGCAGCATTACTCCGGCACCCCAAACATCGCATCCCTTGCCGTATAGCCGCCGGGTCACCACCTCCGGCGCCATGTAATGCGGACATCCGACGCGTCCGTGTGTTTCTATGGTTTCCCGGGTGCCGGGCAACTGGATAGCCGATCCGAAGCCGCCCAGCTTCACGGGCGCCGAGTTGTCGACGGTGGCAAGAAGGGCGCAGGCGGGACGAACGTCCCTGTGCAGGATGTCGTTCTCGTGACAATAGCGCAGCGCCTCCAGGATCTGGCGCATATAGTGACTGGAAGGGAGTGGGGGTTAATAAATTGGGTTCTTTTAATTAATTTGATTAGCGTTTGTTTTGGCGTTTATTTTAATGGGATGGAATCCATATAAATATATTATGATTTTAGCAAATTGGAAAAATAAATTCATTTGTGTTTAAATTTATTTGATCACAACGAATTTGAAAATATTTTAGTTTCGCTAAGCACACTTTTAATTGCCTTTATATCAATGTAGAAACACAAATGACTCCCTGACTGTTAATCTCTCAAAGAACTTTCCGTAAATAGACGAAATAATTACGTTTGTTGAAATGGAATTACTGCCGGGGCACTTCCTTTAATTAATTATAATTAATAATTTATTCCCTTTGACCAAAACAAACGCAGATTGTTGGAATTTCTCCCGATTCTCACCAGGCAACCGCCTCGCTGTAGACAAAACCGGCAACAGCACGCCGCACAACCTCGAAGCACAAGTCGGAGCCCTCCATGCTGCAAGAGAGTGCAAAGCGAAAGGATATTAGGGAGGGGCCCCAACTCAACCACCCAGAACCTGACAACTTACAACTCGAAGACCATGTAGAGCATTCCCTCGGAGCTGTAGGTCTCCAGCAGCTCGACAATGTGCGGATGCTTCAGCATGTGACATATTGTGGCCTCGCGCTTCAGATCTGCAAGAAGGAGAAGGTTGGCATGGGGATGAGAATCGAGCGTTGAGCGTTGCGAGGGGGCGGGGAAAACAGCGGCAATTAGTTGACATTAGATGGAGGGAATGCCACCCTACCGGCCACCCACTACACCAGCTGGCAGTGGCACTAATGGACTTAGCGCTGACTTATGTGCCTGCCATGTATCATTTAGTCAATGGCCGGATGGCTGCTCCTTCTGCCTCGTCCACGTCCATGTCCTGATTCAGGTTCAGGTCCTGGCGCCCTTGCACTTGAGCAATTTCTTTTTAATTGGCGTCTTGGGCTTGCAAACGGGCAGCCCTGGGGGCGTGCTACACGTGTGGCAGCGGCATAATTTTGAATAATTGAGCAGCTTAATTATAATTTATTCACACAGCGATGGAGTCGGGAGTTGGTAGCCGGTAGTCGGTAGCCTGGGGCCAAATCGAACAAGGTCGTCTCATTCCGCCGTCAAGAATAAAAGTGGAATATATATATGTATATTGTATATAAAATGCTCACCCGCTGTGCTCAGTCCAGGACTCGCTGTGAACTTGGCCACATCAACGATTTTGACAGCAAACTGCTGATTGGACTCCCTGTGTATGCATCGCCTCACAATGGAGAAGGGTCCTCTGCAAGAAAGAATTTCGGTGGCGGGGAAAAAGTAAATTCGGATTAAACTTCAATTGCAAGTTGATTGTGTCTAAATGGGGGCGAATAAAATTTTATATTTTCTTCGACAAAATGAAAATCAAAAAATATTGTTGAGAAAAATAAAAACATTATAAACTCTTTTTTCAGTAGATTAAATTTACGCTTTTAATATGAAATTTTAATTTCTAAGGATAATAAAATTTATTTCCGTTCATATTTCATTTTTAAAAAACTTTATTTTTCCCAATTCTAACTAAATAGCATATTAAAAGTCAAGCAATGATTGTGTTATTGTGTTTGCTATGATGTCACCGAGTTTATTCAGAAAAGCGAACGCGATTCAAGTTCATCTGTGCGCTTAATGTAGATAATAAAATGTAAGTGTATGATCAAAAAAGGGAAAATGCGATTCACATTTTACTTCGTAAATAAACTCTACAATTTTGTTAATGGCACATTTCCAACATCATGGAAATACTTTGCTATCGAAACTAAATTCAACAAAGTTCCATTTAAAAATGGTGACAACTTGGTGAATGGACTTGAAGCTAAACTATGATGATCACAGGAAAAGTAACTAACACAGAAAATGTTTGGCCATACATTTTTGAATAATGCAAAAGTTGGCCCGGCGTTTGGAAAGTTTTTTATGAGGATGGAGGGAGCGAGAACTCCGGTCCCTGGCCAATAGTTGGATGATTTACTGCGTGTGGGTGGCGATGGGCTGGGCGTACGGGGCGGATACATAATACATAATGAGATAATGGCCATGGATGCCAGCTGTCAGCGGCAGAATCGGGCGAAGATATAGCCGGAGGGGCGAAACTTACTTGCCAATGACCTCGCACAGCTCGTAGACGTCGTCAAAGAGAATTTCGTCTTCGGTCATTTTGAATAATTGATGAATTGATGCCTCGACTCAATTGCTTTTTCGAATATTGATGAGTTGTGTCCTGTTTTCCGTTTTCCTTGCCCGGCGCTTTTCCTTTTTCCTCTATTTCCCGTCGCCTACTGCCCTCCAAAACCGAACATAAAAAATAAACAAAAAACGAAGCGGCCAGTGAGCAACTCCAAAACTTTGAACGTTTTTTCTCGGTTTCTTCTGATGATTTGTTGTTATTATTATTGTTGTTGGTGTCGTTGCTTCGTTGTTGTTGCCGTTGACTGCGTTGTTTTTGCTATTGTTGCTGCCGGTGTTAAAAATGCATTTGGCGCTGAAAAAAAAACAGGTGGGAATGGTAAAGGTGAGTTTTTCCATTAGTCAAAGGCCGCTAATCAGATTTATTTGGCGTCTAATTAAGAAGCTGTCAAGAAGCTTTTTCAAAATACTGAGGCCCAGATACAGTAAAATATGTTTATGTACTCTGGACTGTCACACAAATCTATAGAAAATGTGTGGGATTTTTTTAAAAGTTCCAAAAATGTTAAATTAAAATTATAAAAAGGTAAAAGGTAGATATAGAATTTTTTTTAATATTTTATATGTGTTTTTTATATTACACCAAACAATAAAGGAGCCAAAAGTCCATTATGTGATTGGATATCATACAATATTAAAAAAATCTAGTACAAGGCTAAGTACATTGTTTAAACCATATTCTTTATCCTCAAAAATGATTAGCATATTAATACTTTGCATTTCCTATAAAATTGGTAGTGATAATATCATAATATGATTAATAGCAATAGCACCGATAAGGTTCATTTATAAATTAAAATGTTTTTCAGTATTGTAACTTTAGGGGATGTGTTAGAACTGATCAATAATACTGTTCGAGGGACCGTTGGTGTTCAGAGTGTCGCAACGGAAATGAGAATGGTCAGCCGGGGACTTCTTTGATATGTCAATCACACTCGTATCAGGTGTAAACCCCAATCAGCTACAGGCGGGCAGCACCTCAAATGCACAAAATGCTGTCGAAAATGCCATTAATAGGAAGGAAGTTTCCACACTGCGGACGAAGTGAATTTTGCAACGGAAATGATGGTCAGGCGAAAAGGTAAACAAGCCAACAGGGCCTGCAAAATGTGCCCTTTGGGGTTCAGGGTTCCGTGGGGTTCCGGGGAAGGTGCGACAGAGACAGAGGCTACCATTGTCTTGGCCATACTATTATTATGCCTTTTGGTCCAGCACTTGAACACACTTTCGAAAACTTTGATGGCACTCCAAAAATCCAAAAGGAGAAAGCAAGAGAGAGAGAGAGCGAATGAGATGGAATTTTGAAGTGCGCAGGCGCAGTGCGAAATTCGTGTAAAGTACCAAAATTGTAATCGTAAAAAATATAAGCTATGCTTTCTGCCCGGGCTGCATGAATATTTAAATGTGCAACAATTTACGATGCACACACGAAAAGTCGAGGGTTAGGGTGCGAGCGGGACGGGGCATATGGGGGATTTCCCGGGAAGGACTTTTGGAGTCATGTTTAATGCAAAGCTGCGCATGGGGCGCGGTGATTTTGGCTCGGTTTTAGTATTCGGGCTCGAGGGTTTTACCTTGCTCGTGTGTGCCGCCGTTGTAAAATGCCTTGACACTTTCCACACGACCTTACCACCCATAGAAAACACCACCCCCTCGGCAACCCCTCCCATAAGAACACACGATATATGCATTTACCCTATAAGAATAGGACTTGTAAGACTCTCGAGGGCCTCACAATTGGCAAATTGATTCTTTGTCTAAGGGATTTGCATTGCTCATGTTCCAGCATCCTCTCGTCCACGCCCCCTTATCAGCCACACACCGCCCCCTCACCAACACACACACACAGGCACACACTAGAACATTTCGCATATATTTGTATGTTCGATTCACCCACCGATTCACAGCGATTTTTCAACGCCCGCAGCTTTTCGGCATCTTCCCGGATTTCTTTAGCACACGATTGTCAAGGTCCGCACTCAAAATCGGCTGGCAAGTCGATTGCATTGGGTAATTTACTAATTTTAACTTAAAACAAACACGGCCCGTGAGGAATTGATTGAAATCAGAGATGCGAAAACATCGATGTCTCTTTCGATAGCATCGGGCCGTGTTACGTTAACGTATAAATAACAGTTACGTTTCTGATTGGCAAAGATCTGGTTGGAAATGAACCGGTTCGTCGAGAACTAGAACTCCAGGGCTGCAAGGCTTATAAAGTGAACCAGTTCATTGCACACCATTTAAATTAATTATTCGAACCAATTTTATTTACAAACCATACTTTAAAGTAAAACCAATATTAGATCAATAAGTAACTACCCTTTTTGGGTCACATTTTAATTCAACAAAGCTTATTGGAATCAATCGACTGGTTCCAGCTGAAAAATACCAGAAATAATCGACTTTCAAACTGCTTTGTCGTTTTTCAAGATACAAAGTTTGGTCTGTTTAAGTGGGGCGCCAATATTTAAAAAGTGATTACAAGTATAAGTTTCTTAAATATTGATTAAATGAACTAAGAACCTCATATATACGCATATCATAACCTCTGATTTCAAATGTTTTTAAAATTACTTATTAATTTACGTGAATTTTTATTTCACATTAAATGTTAGACTTCGAATAGAGAATTTTATAATGCCCTATAATCTATATATTAAAAGTAAGAGGACTAATAACTACATCGTAATTTTATAAATATTAATTAATATAAATTCTTTTGGCAGAAATGTAAAATTTTTAATAAGACGCAAAATACGTAAACATGTTTACCTGTTCCTTTCTCTTTGGGAATGTTTTGTATAGGTTTTTATTTGTTTGACTTATCTGCAAAGAGCACTTGTTTTCATTTGATAAATACCTACTGCATGGTTGATAAATTTGCTTGAAAGTAAGATAATTCATTGCACACTGAATTGTTTCCGCTTGAGTGAAGTCGGCAAATATTTACGCGGTACGCAAGTGCATAACGTTATTGTGGGATATTTCACATTCGAAATTCGAACACTTTCCAGTTGTACAAGTTATGTGATATCTTTAACCATTCACCAACTTGGTGGTAAACCTTTTCTTTCTCAGCAATACACGATTTGCTTACCAGAAATAAACGATTCCAGTGCTATGGAAGGGATTTCCACTACGGAACCTTTATCAACTTGCTTTATCGCTATGCTCGTTCGCAGCCCATTGAATATTACCATATTATTCCCATTACTTCTCTTTGCGCGCCATTCAACTTTATCTATTATTATTATTATTACCCCATAGCATTTGATAAACCCATTAGAATAAATTAAGATCTTGGCATTAATATGCCGGGCACACACAGGAGTCCCTCAACCGAAGTCAAGGAAAACCCACACACAAACTCCCTGAGTTAAAGGAAAGAAAATAAAGAAGAAACCCGTAGGTGCGTAATCTTTAAATCAGCTCCGAAAAGGGGGTGGGGAAAGGGGTGGGGGTGGGGACAGGGGCCAATACTCAAACATAAACATCATCAATTACAAAACCTCGAACAACAACAACCACCGCAGAACGAACTGCAACAACATAAAGATAAGGTAGAACAGAAACAACAGGCCAACAAACACAGAAACATCAGCCAGATGAAGAAAGAGCTGATGAAAATGAACTCAATATGGCAATATTACTACAAACCAACTGAAAAAGGATGAGCAACAACAACCATTTCGAGATGAGCAGCAAAAAAAACAAGTGTTAATGAGCAGCAATACCCACAGTGGTCACCTCAAAAGATACTCCCATTTCATTGTACCATCGAATCCTCTAGGATCAGAAAGATACCGAAAAACAAAGGTTTCCTTAAGTGCGTATTTCATCGAATTTTTTTTTGTAAACTGGTGCTATTAACAAGTCTTTAAATTAATAAAAAGATTTATAAAAAAATTATAAATTGTTTTGTAAAATAACATTGTGTTCAAAAATATGGAATTATACATATATAATAAACACTTATTCTCCATGTTGAAATAATTTCCGTACATCAAACAAATTTTTCATTATAAAACAATGAATTAAACAATGATTAAAAATTATAAAAAAAATGTATATCCTATAGAGTTTAAATATTATAAATATATTTTAAAGCCTTCTTAGTACTGGGAGCTTTTAAAGTAATATATCAAAATCCCTATCCAATAACCACTGTACCTAAAAAAAAAAGGACAAAAACAAAGGACAATACACAACTCACGTTAAGAAGTCGTAGGTCGTTGCTTTGCATTTGTTTGCTGCGTTGGTTGACAATAAAAAATACAACAAAAAAAGGAACCCGGCAAGCGGAGCAGAAGTAAAAAACAAAAATAAACTCGACAAAAGGTGGAGCAACAAAAGGGCAGGGAAAAAGGCTCAGCCACTCAGGTGAAATCAAAATCAAATTCAACGCCAACGATCGTCCCCGTACCTTTCGCAGTTCCTTGTATGCCTTATCCCCTAACCCTGTAGCCCCGTCTCTTTCTCTCTCGATAGCCCCGTCTCTTTCCCGTCGCCGATCCTCGTTCTCTGTCGCCGGTGATCGTCATCATTTGGACTTGCGACTGTCGCGCTTAATGCGTGTGGATGGACATGAACGTGTAGGATTCGAATTGACATTATAAAAACTGGTTTGCTGCCAATATATATTGCCGGTTACGCTGCGTCCTACGTCCTACGACCGAAGACCGACGTCCTACGCCCAGAGTTCTCCCCTCTCTTTCTGCATGTACCTGCCTACTTGGATCTGATTCCTGTTTGTTGTTGTCTCTAGGATATTACCTGCTGCCTTTCCAGGGGAAAAGTGCGCGCCAAAAAGATAAGAAAAGACTGGGGGATCCTCAACAATAGTAGCCTGTCATCCAAATGATCCGATAATGACAGTTGATATTGTGCGGCAATCCAAAATGTCAGATTTAAATGCATTGAGGATCATAAAAATATTATTAATTTCATCACATATTGATAAACATTCTTGTTTAACATAGTTGGATATTGTGATTGTTTTCCTATTAGCTGATTTATGTTTCGAGTTGTCACCGTAGTGATATTGCCAGATATTACCAGATGAAGAAGAGTGCACCAGAAAGATAAGGATGGTCGGGGGATTCTCCACAATAGTAGCATGACGTTAACCTGATCCGATAATGTCAATTGAATTTGTAAGGCAATCAAAAGATACCTGATTCTTATGGGGGAGTCCAAATAAGTTAATATCAAAGAAAGAATTGAGTGTCGAGCCCACAAAATATATATTATCTTAAAGATTATTTCCTTGTCATAAACCGATA